TCCTTCTCTTACACAAGGGGAGAAAGCCAGGAACCCCTACTGCCAGCTACAGATCTGAGCCATTTTCCCCTATCCAATTGTGAGATAAGCAGTGGCATGGGCCTCAGTTTGGTTTTAATGCTTAACCTTTCCGCTGGTCCTTTCAGATCAGCTGACTTCACAAGTCGGTAAATCGTATGCATGTGCGAACATTGCACATGTCATCATAATTCCACTGAGAACAAATAAAGTGAGTAGCTATGTCAATTGCTGGATTTTTAGGGAATTTCTTCTAGTAGGAAGCTCTTAAAGAGAAGTGATGTATGATATTTCCAGGCCTAGTCATATTTTGACTATGGCATTATTGCAGCCTTACACACAAACTGAGGGGCTACAGATAGTTAGGAATAGTTCTGTGTCCAAGGTATAAACAGGTAGCTTTGTTTTTCATATGAAGTAATATAAGCAGACAGAACTGAACAGTTTCATATGATAAAGTTAAGTCAGAATTAGAAGCTTTTTTCAATTGATTTCTTATGTAGATTTGACACCCATGACTTAGCTATAACTTAAATAAGGTTTGCTTTCCAGAAACAGCCATTTATCAGTACACAGATCTCAGATAAATGACCACTGACACATTTCTAAGTAAAAAAAAAAAAAGGGTGGGCTATTTATGGTTACGATTTCTTCTGTAATCTTCTGAAAGCAGAGTAGAGTTTCTGTCCTTCACCTCTGTAACACTTTCTTAATGGACATTACATTAACAAGCCTAGTTGTATATTATAGACACATAAATGACTAGATAAAAGTCTGCACATTCTGGGCTGTACCATAAACACATAGTACTAATTATGAGCTTACGTAGTTCAGTGATCTTGATTAGCCGCAACCTTAGCACAGGAGACCACATAGAAAGGGAGTTAGATATTCAAAGGTCTGATTCTCATTTACACTGAGCTGGTAACATAAATGGGTTTTAAAGAGCCAGAGAGGTATAAAGTGACTGGTATAAATGATAGACACCCTAACGTCGGTTCCATGTACAAACAAGCACTTCCTTGTTCTCAGCCACAGTTATTTGGTCATGAGTCTTCCATTCCACTGTTCCTTAAAGAAGTCATATTTATCTGCCTACATACTCAACAACTGTGTTCGACTACTTGCCATATACGTCCACACACACCTACACCCCACCTACAGCACAGGCCATAACATTTGAGAATAAAGAATTTAGAGCAAATGTCATGCCTAAGTAAAAGGGAAAGAACAGACTAGATTTCATCAGCCTGCTCTCATTCTCTGGTCTTTTACAAGACAATATATTATTTGCTTGTTGATTTGTACATGGTATGTAAGATGTTCCCCTGACAGCTTGGTGACTGCTTATCGTCTGCAGGGTGGGGCTAGAATTGGTATACATGTGCGTTGATTGTATTTCTTTTGTGATAGATTATGGGGATCATGGGTGTGTTTAAATCTCTGTTCTGGCAGATTAACTTTGCAGAAATGTAGAATATCTCTACAGAAAAGAATTGCAATCCAATAGTCTACTCATTTGTTACTCTTGGAGGAATAATTAATATTCCTAAGCATCTAGTGAGATGTTCTTAAAAAAATACCATTTACTTTTCCCATCAGCCTCATGGTATCAGTAATGCAGCAGATAGTGACTAGGTTAGTAAATTCCCTTGATTTTGCAATGCTTGTACCATTTTTTCATTCCAAAGACTCCCAAAGCACTTCACAAACTACATGGAAGAACTGCTAACTCACCACCACTGAAATACAATCACCTCTGCAGAGGAACACAGCAGCTGTTAAGTCCCCCATCAGTTGTATAGTGTTAATTCTCATTTCCAGTAAGTCAATGGGCTAGCTCATGTGCTTAAAATTAGTAAGCAACTTGCGGAATGGAGTGTTTAAAAGGGCCAGCTCCTACTCACACCACAGTCAAGGGCAGCATCCACACTGTTGTCATTGGATGTAGGATTGAGTCTTAAGAGAGGCAGGAAAGAACACTAGGTTCATCCAAACTATAGGGGGAATTTTAGGCAGAGTAATAGGTGGCACTGGAGTGCAAGCAGCCGTTGAAGTAGATGATCCAGCTGTTCTCTGGCTGCTGTCACTAGGTATGTCAGGGACCTGGAAAAGATAAGGCAGCAAACTCGGAGTATTTTTGTAGATTTTTTTTTATTTAGCCAGTAAATTCAGAGATTAATTACAGTATGTTTAACATGGGAAATCTTAGCTTGGGTTGAGCAGTTCAAAGCTTTGCCAACAAATATATTCTGCTTTTTTGAGCCCAATCAGTTTCTTGCCAGTGAAACAACCTGGAAACTACAGGAAGTAGGAAAAAAACACACCCACCATGCATGGGGTAGTAGTTTATTTTCTTCCTCCAATGCCCACATTCATACCAGAAACAAGTATTTGTTCACAGTTTGCTCAGGCTTCTGTGCCAGACTTAATGGCAAGATGTGGCTGTGCACAAAATAATTTTCAATGACCTTTGATGAGGACGTGGCTTTTTTACCCACATAACATTTCCTCTTTCATTAGCAGAGTACTATACACTTCCTTTCCAACTTGCACAGTGGAGATGCAACTGCAGAGTAGCCATTTGCTCAGCATAAGAGAGACCTTTGATAAGTAACCAGAGAAATCTGCCACAGAAAACCCACAGCTATTGCTAATTTGCTACACTTTTTTTTATGAATGAACCAAGCAGAGAATCTGAAGCAACTCCAGCTGATAAGGCAGTAAACTGAGCACTCAGTTCAACAGCCACTAAAGGAAATGGAATAAACTGGATTTGCAGAGACAGGGTGGGGTTTAAAATAAAAGAAGTTCTTATGGGAGGGAGGGAGAAGTTGTCAGCCATAGCCTCATGCATTCCCGTATCGCAGCTGTCTGCTGCTTTTTCAAAATACATTGATTCTTGCCCCTCCTCAAAAAACACTGCTGTTTGGCTCTTGAACGTAATGCACTGAATTTGTCAGACATTCAAGTTCTGAGATTTTACCCAATGAGACAAGCTTCCCTCCCCACTCTATGTAGTGCTACATAGTCCTGTTTTTTGTTTCAGCTACACCAGACTAACACAGCTACATTTCTATCACCACTCTATGTAGACTATCTTTGGAGCAGAGACTGTCTCTTACTATGTGTATACAACTAACACAATGGATTGTCAGGCCCCTGGGCACTACTTTACTGCAGATAACACTATTGAGTAACATATATAGAGACTATATTATTAATATGAACATAAGGGCTCCTTGACCTCAGAAACTGCTGCATGAAAGAAGAAGCTCACTGTTTCATAGTCCCTTTCACATTCCGAGCTGTCGAGTAAGCCAGTTTCTTATCATCCACACTCAGTTTATCATCTCTCTTATTCATACACTTTTGAGTTCCGTTCCCTGGCCTGTGAAGGTGGGGAAAGACCAGAGGAGGGCAGGCAGAGCCTGCCAAGGAAAATCAGCAACTAAACAGAAATGCTTGAAATATGCCAAAGAAATCAGAGATACAAGGTGGGTGAGGGGATGTCTTTTATTGGATCAACCTCTGATGGGAAGAAAGGCAAATTTTTGGTTTATGCAGAGCTCTTCTGCAGACCAGAGAAACCAGTAAGCCAAAGCAAAAGAAACATAGGGGCTACATCTACACTGGCATGATTTTGCACAAGAACTCTTTTGCGGAAGAGTTCTTGTGCAAAAACTCTTCCAGAAGAGAGCGTCTACACTGGCATGTGCTTTTGCGCAAGAGCATCCATGCCAGTGTAGACGCTTTCTTGCGCAAGAAAGCTTCGATGGCTATTTTAAATCATAGGACTTTCTTGCAGAAGAAATTCATGTTGCCTGTCTACACTGGCCTCTTGCGCAAGAACAGTTGCGCAAGAGGGCTTATTCCTGAATGGGAGCATCATAGTTCTTGCGCAAGAAGCCCTGATTTCATACATTAGAACATCAGTGTTCTTGCGCAAGAACTCGCGGCCAGTATAGACAGACAGCAAGTTTTTGCACAAAAGCAGCTGCTTTTGTGCAAAATCATGCCAGTGTAGATGTAGCCAGGTAGTTTCTTTGATGAATCAGTAAAACCACTAATGCCTTTCACAAACAGATCCCTGCAACTGAGCCTTGTCTTTTTCTACTATTGTATATGATTTGATTAACAAGGTGCAGCTATTTACAGCAATAGCCCGGCAAGTTCATTCCAGCTGCAGGCTGACTGTTAGGTTTCTTCCATCTTCTTCCTTCTGGTTTTCTTTTTCAAATTAAATATCTAAAAGTAGCCACTTGGACCAATTTCTCAGCACAAGGAGGCAAAACGAACAAACCCCACACAGCTGTCATGTAACACATAAGACATAGACCCTGCCAGGAGCATCTTCTGGTCTAATATTGTCTCGTGTTTAAATAATAGCGGGTAGGCGATCTTAAAGGAGGAGGACAACACCAGTGTTTCCTCTAATTTTTTTATCCATGTGCAGAATAAATTTTGTTATGTGCACCAAGCCATGTGCAGATGTACACCACCAACAGAAACACATGCGGGCAGCTGTGGGTGCTCTGTCTACCAGCTCACTGGCACCTGAATTTCTCCCGCGTGGCTGCCCAAGCGCTCAACTTACAGGGAGCACTGATGTACATAGTTGTACCTGAGCCTTACACATGTTATGAGGGGAAGGGGAGAAGGAATCATTCCTCCACCTTGTAAGCATTTTCTGCACAAGAGCAGGGATGATCACCATCCCTGTCCTTAGGGGTGCAAAGGGACCGCTCTCTATTTTCCATTAGGCAGAGCACACCCTACCAGGGTGAAGATGACCCATACCTTCTCTGTACCAGCCCATGGAACTGGAGCAAGCCTACTAGAAAGTTAGAAGAAAGACAATACATTGAGGAGTATGAAATGGTGAGACCACTGCCTGTCATGCTCACCAAAGTTCTCTCATTGTTTGCTCATGCAGACCCATTTGTCTGTATCTGTTGTTGCTTGTTTTCAGTTACAAACTTCCTGGGATGGTGCTGTGTGTGAGGGAGGGATCCTTCTTTGGTAAGTAGAACTATTCTTGAGTGATGCTAAACATGACATATATTCCAGTCATCTGAAGAAGTGGGTTGTGCCTACGAAAACTCACTACGTCTACGTCTACACTGGCCCCTTTTCCGGAAGGGGCATGTTAATTTCAGCTATCGCAATAGGGAAATCCGCGGGGGATTTAAATATCCCCCGTGGCATTTAAATAAAAATGTCCGCCGCTTTTTTCCGGCTTTTAGAAAAGCCGGAAAAGAGCGTCTACACTGGCCCCGATCCTCCGGAAAAAGCGGGGGATCTTATTCCTTTGAAGTAGGGGTTCTTATTCCTTTGAAGTAGGAATAAGATCCTCCGGAAAAGGGCGCTTTTTCCGGAGGATCGGGGCCAGTGTAGACGCTCTTTTCCGGCTTTTCTAAAAGCCGGAAAAAAGCGGCGGACATTTTTATTTAAATGCCACGGGGGATATTTAAATCCCCCGCGGATTTCCCTATTGCGATAGCTGAAATTAACATGCCCCTTCCGGAAAAGGGGCCAGTGTAGACGTAGCCTACATGTTTTGTTAGTCTTTAAGGTGCTACTAAGCTATTCATTATTTTTTAAGTTATTACTTATATATAATGATTTAGTTCCAGTACACAGGAGTGGAAAAGATCACATCCAGTCTCTAAACGTGGGTATCCTACATTGCCAAGAGGCCAGCCCCAATAGCAACCTTTTTCAAAGGTATCATAAGCTATGTACAGAAGAAGTTAAAAGGAGAAGAAATTCAGTTTGATTATTCCTGTATAAATGAAAGACTATCAGCATCTGAGCACTATGTGAGCACAAAACCAATCATATAAAATATTTCTCTGCAGAAAAATGACAAGTCCATTATGCACTTGTGAAAACTCTTGAGTTTTGGCAAGGGAACATATAAAGCCAAAGTTGTTCCTATTTCTGCTTAGCTTAATTTCTTAAGTGTAGCTGTTTTTCTTGCTAAAAGACAGGCATTTTGTGTTCTCTCTCTAGGTAGAGCTCAATATGCTACACTTCCATACACACACAATCTGCATTGCTCTTGTTTGTAATTAGCTACTGACCTTGCACACGTATCTTGGGGTGTGTCTAGACTCCAGGGTTTTGTCGACAAAAGTGGACTTTTGTCGACAAAACTATACCTGCCTCTACATTACCGCCGAGTTCTGTCCACAGAAGGTCGACAGAACGTAGCAGTAAACCTCATTCTACAAAGAATAATGCCTTTTGTCGACAGAGTTCTGTTGACAAAAGGCGCTATTGCATCCACACTGTGCTTTTTCAAAAGAGAGTGTCTAGACTTTCTATCAACAAAGCGGCTTGTATCTGTTGACAAAGCCTCTGTCAACAAAAGCCTATAGTCTAGACATACCCATAGGCAGAAATGGTAGCATCACTCAAATTTAAGGTTGCCTGAATCCTCCCTCAGTAAGACCCTGCTTTTAGTTATTTACAGCTACCAAATTATAACTGTTTGAGATGAAATATTCCATGCTAGGGGTTTGCCTCAGGCTGAAATCTAGTTGTTGTTTTTTTAAAAACCAGAAATGGTTCAACCCATTTCTCAAAATCAGATAAGGGAAAACTACACTGTTACTCATTTCAGACTATTCTTGTGAAGTTCTGGCTCCTCCACCCTTTGGATAAAAGGAAGTTCAAATTTAGATTTGGCCTTTGTGCCAGGAATGTGGCTTTTACTGTTTGTGGGGAAAAAAGAAATCGCCCAAACACAATCAAGTTATGAGACATTGGGAAAAAATCAGCTTGCACAAGCCCAGGAGACACTAGCTAGAGTTGACAGTTAAATTCTTCAATGAGTCCATCTGTACTGTGCATGCTCCAATCTAAATTGTAGGGGCTAAGCAGGGTTTCCCCTGTAATTGTTCCTCCTGACTGCTCAGTCTGCTTGGACAGCAAAAAAGAGCAGGGAAATGGCCTCTTTTGGGCTCTGTGTTCTACCTGCTGGGTCTAAGCTTTGTGGGGAAAGATACAGCCAGAGTCATAGAATCATAGAACACTAGAACTGGAAGGGACCTCGAAAGGTCATCAAGTCCAGTCCCTTGCCCTCACGGCAGGACCCTGTGCAATCTAGACCATCCCTGATAGATGTTTATCTAACCTGCTCTTAAATATCTCCAGAGATGCAGATTCCACAACCTCCTTAGGCAACTTATTCCAGTGTTTAACCACCCTGACAGTTAGGAAGTTTTTCCTAATGTCCAACCTAAACCTCCGTTGCTGCAGTTTAAGCCCATTGCTTCTTGTCCTAGCATCAGAGGTCAAGGAGAACAATTTTTCTCCCTCCTCCTTGTGACACCCTTTTAGATACCTGAAAACTGCTATCATGTCCACTCTCAGTCTCCTCCTTTCCAAACTAAACAAGCCCAATTCTTTCAGTCCTCTTTCATAGGGCATTTTTCTAGACCTTTCTTCATTCTTATTGCTCTTCTCTGGACCTTACGCAATTTCTCCACATCTTTCTTGAAATGTGGTGCCCAGATCTGGACACAATACTCCAACTGAAGCCAAATCAGCGCAGAGTAGAGCGGAAGAATGACTTCTAATGTCTTACTCACAACACACCTGTTAATGCATCCCAGAATCATGTTTGCTTTTTTTTGCAACAGTGTCACACTATTGATTCATATTTAGCTTGTGGTCCACTATGACTGTAGATCCCTTTCTGCAGTACTCCTTCCCAGACATTTGCTTCACATTCTGTATATATGAGACTTAATGTTCCTTCCTAAGTGAAGTACTTTGCTTTTGTCCTTACTAAACTTCATCCTATTTACCTCAGACCATTTCTCCAGTTTGTCCAGATCATTTTGATTTATGACCCTATCCTCCAAAGCAGTTGCAACCCCTCCCAGCTTCGTATCATCTGCAAATTTAATAAGCGTACTCTCTATGCTAATACCTAAATAGCTGATGAAGATATTGAACAGAACCAGTCCCAAAACAGACCTCTGTGGAACCCCACTTGTTATACCTTTCCAGCAAGATTGTGAATCATTACTAACTACTCTCTGAGAATGGTTATCCAGCCAGTTATGCACGCACCTTGTATAAAACTATGCCCTGTATAAAACTATGATACGCCCACATCTTGAATACTGTGAACAGATGTGGTCTCCTCACCTCAAAAAAGATATTTGGGCCTTGGAAAGGGTTCAAAAAAGGGCAACTAAAATGATTAGGGATTTGGAACGGGTCCCATATGAAGAGAGTTTAAAGGAACTGGAACTTTTCAGTTTAGAAGAGGAAACTGAGGGAGGATATGAGAGAGGTATATAAAATCATGAGTGGTGTGGAAAGGGCGGATAAAGAAAAGTTATTTATTAGTTCCCATAACAGAAGAACTAGAGGACAACAAATGAAATTAATGGGTAGCAGGTTTAAAACTAATAAAAGAAAGCTCTTCTTCACACAGCGTGTAGTCAACCTGTAGAACTCCTTGCCAGAGTAGGCTGTGAAGACTAGGACTATAACAGAGTTTAAAGAGAAGCTAGATAATTTCATGGAGGTTAGGTCCATAAAAGGCTATTAGCCAGGGGATAGAAATGGTATCCCTGGGCTCTGTTTGCCAGAGGCTGGAGAGGGATGGCAGGAGACAAATCGCTTGGTCATTGTCTTCGGTCCACCCCCTCTGTGGCACCTGGTGTTGGCCACTGTCGGCAGACAGGCTACTGGGCTAGATGGACCTTTAGTCTGACCAGCTGTGTCTACACTGCACCCCTTTTCCGGAAAAGGGATGCAGATTAGACACTTTGGAATAGGCAAATCCGCGGGGGATTTAAATATCCCCCGCGGTATTTGCATTAACATGGCTGGCGCGTTTTTTCTTCTTGGGGATAAGCCGGAGAAAAGCGCCAGTCTAGACGTGATTCTCCGGAAAATAAGCCCTTTTCTGGAGGATCTTTTATTCCTACTTGAAAGCTCCTTGAGTATTCTAGGATGCATTTCATCAGGCCCTGGTGACTTACAGACATCTAACTTTTCTAAGTGATTTTTCCTGCATCATCAGACTTCTTGGTGAAGAACGAAACAAAGAAGTCATTAAGTACCTCTGACATTTTCAAATTTCCTGCTCTCCCTCCTCATTGAGCAGTGGGTCTACCCTGTCCTTAGCCTTCCTCGTGCTTCTAATATAGTTATAGAATGTCTCCTTGTTTCCCTTTATATCTGTAGCTAGTTTGAGCTCGATTTGTGCCTTTGCCTTTCCAATATTGCCCCTACATTCCTGTGGTGTTAGCTTACATTCATCCTTTGTAATTTATCCTCATTTCCACATTTTATGACTCCTTTTGATTTTTAGATCAAGTTCTCCTGGTTAAGCCAAGGCGGTCTTTTGTCATACTTTCTATCTTTCCTATGCAGCGGAATAGCTTGCTTTTGGGCCTTTAATAATGTCCCTTTGAAAAACTGCCAACTCTCTTCTGTAGTTTTTCCTCTTAATCTTGCTTCCCATGAGACTTTACCTATCAGCTCTCTGAGCTTACCAAAATCTTCTGTCTTCAAATCCATTGTTCTATTTCGCTGTTCTCCCTTCTACCATTCTTTAGAATCATGAACTCTATGATTTAATTATCACTTTCACCCAAGCTGTCTTCCACTTTCAAATTCTCAACCAGTTCCTCCCTATTTATTAAAATCAAATCTAAAACAGTTTCCCCCCAGTAGCTTTTTTAGCCTTTTGAAAGAAAAAGTTGTCTTCAATACAGTCCAAGAACGTATTGGATAGTCTGTGCCCTGCTGTGTTAGTTTCCCAGCATATGTTTGAATAGTTGAAATCTCCCATCACCACCAAATCCTGCACTTTGGATGATTTTTTTAGTAGTTTAAAAAAAGCCTCATCCACCTCTTCCACCTGGGTAGGTGGCCTATAGTAGGATTTTATCAGCTGTAGCATGGACAAAATCCTAACCACCAATGGGAATGGCAAAGGGTATATATTCCAACAAGAAATCTCATGGTGGGTTGGGGTGGAGAGTTACTTG